TAATTCGAAATACTCACAATCCTCATAAACAACCGCCCACTTCTTTTGAACAACGCTCATTTTATGCATCCCTCTGAATCCATCCGCAGAAAACTTTCTAACCTCAAGGTATTTTTGGTCAAGCAACCCAAGCATACATAATCTATAAAATTACAACTTTCGATACCAATATGGAGCTCTTTGGAATTCTTCACTTCTTTGATAATTTGATATTTAATTTATTTGAATTCACAACCTTCTTGTTTGATTTTTGGTATCTTCAACTTTTTGATTTCTTCAGAATTTTGATCTTTTGATCTTCATACTTTGACTGCTCCAAAATTCTTACAACTTTTCACTTTTTTTTGTAATTTCTCTCTCTCTCTCGCTCTTTTTTTACATGTAACTCACTCTTTTTTTTTTCACTCAAAAGCTACATGCTTAAGCAAGGACGCTCTACTTCAACCTTTATTGGTTAAGGCATTAGTCTTAGTGCAATGACTTCTTAAGCTTTCCTGGTACACGATGCTAAACATATTGCGATCCTCAAACAAAGCGAGGTTGTGTTTTTGTCCTATGATTTCACTAGAATAAAGGGGGCCCACAAATGCATTATAACGTATATATGCTCAACTAAACATTTGAGTTCTCATCGGATCATCCCATACAATATTAGCAAAATTTTAAATTATCACTAGATTTTCCTAAATTAAACTATTTTTCAAGTTTATAATTTTAAATTTTCCTAATCTAGCAATTTTTAATTTTCTTTTTCGACCCCCAACCCCACATTTATTTCATATAATGCCCTCATTGTATGCATAAAACTAATTAAGCTCATAAAAATAATAAAAAGGGAGAAAAAGGAACAAACTTCCCTGGGGTAGTAGTGGCGAGATTGAATGGGGCTGCTAAAAGTTGTTCCATAAATTTGCTGGAAGACTGGAACTGCTACTTCTAAATGTGTCGGAAAAATAAATCAAGAACGCCGACTTCTAAAATGTGGTGCAAAAGATTGCAAATAAATGCAATGTGTAGTAACCATGACGTGGAAAAGTGTCAACCACGTCGTCTCGTCGAGTGATGTGAAATCTATATTATGAATAATAGCATGGCCACAATGTGATAATTGGTGGTCACGTCGTCATATCAAGAATGACAGCCTCTTCTCGCGATGAAAAACTCCCCCACGACATAGGAAAGTGTCAACCATGTTGTGGCAGCCGGGATGATACTTCTACCTCGCGTCGAAATAAAACTCTATGGTGTGGGAACAACTCATCCATACCATAGGAATCAAAATATGGTAGAAACATCACTCTTCTAAATAATATACTTTCACAATATCGACTCGCACCCCACACTTATGAAAAATCATGGGTCTTGATTATAAACTTTAAACTCTCACACGGCTTTCTCTCTCGTGATAAAACAACAGTCGGACCTAGCTGCTGAACTTACTACCAGCTTTCTAAGGGCGAAAAATCTGCAAAGATCTAAAACAATCAAAGAGCATCAACATGGAAAACAAAATTACCAAAAACAAAAATAAAACAACCTAAATTAAACTAAATACATACCAAATAAAAATATTAATTCTAAGAAACGCAAAATAAACTAAAAATAACAAAAAAATAAAAAGGATAAACTAAGTCACTCGTCATCCTCGTCATCGTGCTGCTGTGTCCCAAATGTGCCGGCTCCATCCTGTTGCTGCTGGAATGATTGGGGAAAGGGGATTGGATGATGATATCCCTGCGAAGCACAAAACCCAATCAATACTCCCTCAAACCACTGTTGTCTACTCTTTACTATATCAAAACGCTCATCCATGAGCCGAGCAAGGTAACGTATATCGATCTCTGGCTCCTATCCATACTGTGCTCCTCGAGGAGCAGGTCTATGCCGTTGGACTCGTCGTGGCTCAGGTGGTGGTGCAGCATCCCTCGGTGCCTCATCATCAGGCACTATCCTAAAAATACCATCACCCCCTCGTGCAATCACCTGCATGGACTCCAGCATATGAACACCCATTACCGTCATGTCATAGCGGACCATCGTCCTCATAATATCCCTGGTCAACAACGATTATGATGCAACTAATCGGGTAACGAAATGTCCACCACAAATCGGACTATCCTCCCGACGCCCTCTGGCCTTCCGTGCCATATACAATGTTAAAGCCATTGGGAGGTTCAGGTGCTTCCCTGGTGTAATAAGGGTCCATAAGACTGAAAGATCTTCAGAAGGCACCCTCTCATTATTTTTGTGATGAGTGAGAGAGCTCGTGATCAATCTGTGCAACAATTTGTATGTAGTTGATCTAATCATGCTGCCCCGAGCAGAAGATGGCACATACACCTCCCCAGTAAGCTGATCCCAAAAAGTGTTTTCATTATACTCCTCATGCGTGCCTACAACACAGACTGAAAGAAAATCATGAAAATGAGGAGTCCTCGTCTCGTCTGCAGTATATACCCCAACCCTTATGGCAAGCTCAATCGCACTACATTACCTGCTAACACCACCTAATCGAAAAGAAAATGCAATCCTATCGTTGAGAGGCTTTGTAGGATCAAAAGAAATTGTAGCGTAGAACTCCAGCAAAAACTCCCGATAGATGGGCTCCTGAATCCGAAATAACCGGTCCCAGCCCCGACATGTAAACATAGGCACGCCACCTACGTCCAGGTGAGTGTATGCCAAAAAAATCCAGGATGAGGACATCGATCCCATATTGGGCTGCAAATTCCCAATCAAAATATGGGGCAATATCAATTTTTTTCCAAGTAATGTACCGAGCCTCCCTTGGTGTTTTGACAGTGTAGCAGGATTCAAAGAACGGGGAAATTGCAAGAACGGGTGGTTTGTGATTTCCTCAGGAGGTTGCTGATTTCTCCTTGCCATGTTGCCTGCAAAAATTTAAGCACACAAAACCATCCAAATAACAAAGATTCATTATTAAGCAAAAATAAAGTGCTGGGCAGATTAACGAACGCAGGGCGCTCATCCAGCGAACGTAGTGCATTCGTTCGTCCCCAGTGGTTCCAGTTTGTCCACAATCAACATTAATGCCAAAATTTCAGGCTAGGCTTTGGTCTACGGGATGAATTTGGTCCGATAACATAATAATAAGCATCAAAATCAAACCATAAATCGATAACATCATAAACCCTAGTTTTTCTATTTAGCACAATGCAACACAATTTAGGGGGTTAAACTAACCTCAAAGCATAAGGATTACAAAAATCATACCTTTTGAGCCGATTACAGGAAAAAGAAGAGGAGCATTCGGCGACTTTGTGAAGAATCGTCAGAGAAAGTGGCGAAGAACACCGAGAGGGGACTAGTGAAAAGGGAAAGTAAAAAGTAAATAAGGGTAAGAAAATATAACCTGTAACTATGAACGCGGAACGTTCAAAAGGAACACAACATGTTCACGATGAGCTCCGAGTTGTCTTGATCGCGATCCAAAAGTTGAACGCAATGCGTTCTCAAAGACTACGCATGGCGTTCCCTCCAGGTTTATTTCATTCATTCATTTTATTATTAATATTATTAATAATATATATATATATATATATATATATATATATATATATATATAGGTTCAGGTTCATTTGAGACCATTCTAATTTTGTGAGACCAAATCTAAAAATAATTTTAAAATGCAAAATAAATGGAAAAATCCAAAAATTCTTTTTTTAAATATTATTTTCGGAACTTGAATTAACTAAAAAAAATAAAAATAAATAAAAAAAATAAAAAAAAATCCCCTTTTTTTTGAAAAATACGTGAAATATTCTAATAGAATATTACACTGACATATTCTAAAAAATAATTTTAAAATGCAAAATAAATGGAAAAATCTAAAAATTCTTTTTTTAAATATTATTTTCAGAACTTGAATTAACTAAAAAAAAAAAAAAAAAAATCTCATTTTTTTTTGAAAAATACGTGAAATATTCTAATAGAATATTACATTGTACATATTCTAAAAAATAATTTTAAAATGCAAAATAAATGGAAAAATCCAAAAATTCTTTTTTTAAATATTATTTTCGGAACTTGAATTAACTAAAAAAAAATAAAAAAAATAAAAAAATACGTCTTACGGTCTCACAAAATTAAGCCGTCTCACATGAACCTAACCATATATATATATATATATATATATATATATATATATATATATATATATATATATATATATATTAAAGAAGTTCAAGCTTAGTAACAGTACCTGACCCAGGTACTTTTCATGGGTTATCTATATATATATATATATATATATATATATATATATATATATATATATATATATATTAAAGAAGTTCAAGCTTAGTAACAGTACCTGACCCAGGTACTTTTCATGGGTTATCTTATCTGGTTAGTCTACCCATGGTCACCGCTCAGCCTGTCTTTTTTTCCATCGCCTCACTTCCCGATCCTTCCACTGTCTCATCTTCGAACTTCCCCACCGACTCTCTCACCCAATATCTGTTTCCACCGCTTCTCTTCTTCTTCTTCTTCTTCTTCACCGTTTCTCAAACCTTTTTTCCCACCTCTTCATGTTATCTGTACCTCCTCTATCAGACGTTCCTCCATCAAACATAGCCATAGATTTTTCAATAGACTCCTCCGTTTTGGGTTCCTTTTACTTCCGCCTGCATCGAACTTTAAAGATCCGCAATCGGGCGGCAGCATGGAACAATCGAAGCTCCTCCGGACCACAGGTAATCACTACAACAAAAGGAACCATAGAGAAGCGAATCAAGGAAACCCTGCTAGTACCTCGCTTCTACACCACTGATTTGGACGAGATGAAGCAAATCCATCTTCGTTCCACATAGTTCGCTTGTGAACAAAGGATTGGAGGATTCCATAGGGAACATCGACTGCGACAGGGGTGAAAGACTATTTTGTTGGTCAAATATGTCTCTATCTTCCAAGGTAAAAATGATTGGTGCTTTTCAATTTTTGTTATTTTCTGATTTTCATAAGGACGATACCACAAACTAATGGATTGGAGTTGTTTGCGAGGACCGACGAAGGAGCTGTGGTGGCCTACAGGTTGTTTTTGGTGATTAAGTTTTCATTCCACCCTCGAATTCCAATTTAAGAAAGATCATGTGTAGGGAGAAGATAAGTCGGCCCCCACAAAACAGGTATAGTTTCTTTAGGCGGAAAGATTGAATTTTTTGGTTGATTTTCCTAAATCTAAATCTTCAAATGGATTTCTCAGTTGTGAGGTTGAAAAGAAGGAGATTTATCATTTAGATGTGATTCATATCATAGTACTCTTTTTACTGACTTCTGATACCTATTGTTTATGATATTTGTATAATCTTTATCACTGAAGCTTATTGTCTTTTGCAGCTATGGCAGATGTTAGATGGGTTTTGCCGGATTTTCATATATGTCATGACAATGATGATTATGAAGGTATATGTATTCTTCTGCCTTAACTTTAACTAAGATTTATTAGGTGGCTGGTCAGAGCATGGTTGTTTCTTTGTATGTGTGTGACTAATTTACTCTTACTTCACAAACTCATTTCCGATGAATCTCTTCGAGTATATATTGATTTCTTTGCTTCAATCAAAGTCAGAGGTTTAAAATTCCTTCTGGGTTTGGTCATTTTCGATCATAAGGAAAAAAATTCTATTGCTTATTAGTCTGCCTTAATTTTGATATGAAATAAAAATTAGTGGGTTACGGGTTAAAGAACCCTAGCATGCTTGAGATTTCCATCTGACAATTCACTAAGATTTTTTCATTATTATTTTGTTTTTTAATCAGAAATCATTCATTTTTCGCCTTCTTTTTATTTTGTTCTCTTCTTTTCTTCCAACCATAATTATTAGCCCTAATATCTCTCTCTGATCATCGTCTGTGTGCGCCATTTGTGAATTCCTGCTAAAAAATCCAATTGTTCGTTAATTTTGCGGGACATATTTGCAAAAAGAATAGTTTTATGATTTTAATTAATTAGTTTTTGTCGTTTTCTTTAATATTTATTTGTGAAGAGCAAATTACAACTTTCCTCCTTTGGAATCCGAATAATAAGAGGAATAATTAGATATTGTTGTTGCAGACGTAGATGAAGAATTGAAGACGCCAAGGGGTTTTTATGACACAGGTAAACCCTTTTGCTTTAATTTATTTTATTTGTGCTTAATTATTGCTTAATCTTAATTATTTTAGGACTTTTGATTTAATTGTGATTTTACAACAATTTGGATTGATTATTGGAAATGACAGACATAATGATTGTGTTGCTTTTTTGGCTTTTGAATTGTTCACCTTTTAGGAAAAAAAGAATACATATTTGTTGATAAGTAAATAAGTAATTCCTTAACAAAATTTGTTGTTCGTATTTTTTTTATAAGGAAAGCTATCAGAATTCTTTGTCTTTTAGATACAAACAAATTAATATTTCTTAATTATATTTTGAAATATATCAAGCTTAATATACAATTGCTTCTGTTTTTTTACGTATTATTTTGTTCATAATTCTTTTCATATATATACAGTTGGAGACAAAATTTGTCTTGGTGAAACCAATTATTTGATGAAGTTGAAAGAGATTTTACAGTTTATGGTGATGATTGTGTGTTTGGTGATGAAAAAGTTATAAGCGATGGAATGGGACAAGCTTCAGGGTATGCCTCACCTTTTTATTGCCTAACTTTACACTTTACAGTATCTACGTTGTGAAATTGGTTACATTACTTTCTTTTTTAATAAGGTGAAAGAATATCATGATGAAAAGGGGAATATTTAGGTGGGTCAAAACTTTGAATAATCATCTTTTTTAACATATGGTTCATTTTACTTACTTTCACTTGTGATATTGGTTACATTAGTTTCTTTTTTAAGTTAATTTGATGTTGTTTGCTTTATAGATGATGTAGTCAAGAAGACCTACAGCTCTTCTCTTTGCGACACCTGGTCTCTATTTCATTTTGATACCTATTGTGTTCACCCCCTTTCTCTATATGTGTAAACGATCTACTACTAACTTGGGTTTAATCATATTTACTTTTGCTTGCAGCTTGCAGGAAGTTGAAGGGCTCCGATATGAAAGGAATCCTACATAAAACTCTAGCACAGAGAGCAGCAATGGATCGGGATAGTCACTACACACAACTTAGAGTCATTTTTGGCAAAGATATGTGGCAAAAGTCTAAAAAATCCCTTGTATATCATTTGATAACAGTATGGAATTTGATCGAAGTATGCCTCAATGTGGATCACAAGGAGCTCCAGCAAGGTAAAGTTTAAGTGAGAACAAATTGAGGGATCTTTTGAAAGATCAAATTCTAATCCTAATTTTCTTATTTTGCTTTTTTTTTACAGCATGTTTATTGGTTCTTGCAAGAGACTGAAGATCATGAAGGGGTCTGATGCTATTGGTTTAGGTATGCATTGAATTCTTAGTTTAGGATCCTTCTTTCATTTCTTTCTTGAAAGTATAACATCTAAATAAGATAAAAATTTAAAGTACAATGCTATAATTTGCTAAAAATTCCGTCTAATTTACAACATTATACTTTCAAATATCCACCAAATTACAACAATGCTCGGCATCCCAGTCACAAATAGAAGAGCATAATCTGAGATTAAACATGTCATTGATAAGATTTAATGAATCTCAATAGATCTAGGAGTTTCATAGTTCGAAATTGGTGAATTGCTTTTACCAACCTTCATATTATGTATAGTTGGATTTTTTAATATATGATTCATTTTGTATCAATTTATTTTTTTCCTTAAACCCTTATTAAAATTTTAATGTCTTATAATTAATTCTGAATGAAATTATCTATTATTCATTGTAGATCTATAAATTTTTTACAGCATCTCATGAGATGCAACATTTAATAATAACATTATTGTAATGTCAAACTGAGAGTTTGTTTAAAGTTAATATGATGGTTGAGATCAATATAAATTTACCTAACTATCCCTACCTTTATGATGCAGGGGGAACGAAATATACAACTTGCTTTATATGTAAAGAAGAAAGATATTTTAGTTAGGACTGTCCTAAAAGCGTTCATGGAATAGATCTGAAGGATCTACTATTTTTTTTTAAAAAAAATTACTTCAATAGCAAATATAGCAACTTACTTTCACTTTGCAATGAAAATTAATAGTTAAAATAATAAATAGCAAACAGTAAACTCGAAGCACATTGCTATTTCTACGATTTAATCCTTCATCGGGCTACATGCAAGAAATAACAATGTACTTTCACTTTATACTTTGTTTCATGTTAGACTGTAAAATGCAAGTACATTGCTACTTCTTGCATATAAATTCCAAAAAAAAATTCATATTGATTTATGTATCTACAATGAGCACATTGCAGGCTACAAGGTTTGGTTATCTTCGAAGTCATCAAAGTTAAAGCCATCAATTTCATCAAAAATAAGCTCTAATATAGCATGTTCCTTTCATTTCTATTCTATTAACCTTTTTAACTTTACTTTATTTTTTTCTTATTGAAACATATAACGTTTTACTTTAATTCTAATGTTAGGTGCCTGATTTAATCATTCAAAGGAAATGAAATAAAAAAAGACGGGTAAGGGATGGGGTAACTATGAAAATGTTCTTTATGTATTCATTGTAGATTGCATCGTAACATTTTGCATCTTTTATTCTTACTGTGTGCTTTTAATTCCTAGCTACATCGGGTCTATTGAATATTTTCAATCTACTAAACCAGCAGCAAAATCCTCCGACAAGTGACACGTTATCTTTGAAATAAAAATAAAACTAAAATAACTAAAAAGGATATCATGATCACTCGTTTTCGTCGAATCAAGCAACAATTGTTGATTAAATTCTTGCATGCAAGAAGTGGTTTGTGAAAACAACTTTTGCGACCCGTTAGACTGTTTCATTTGTTTTCTTTGTAACATTAACTAAAACTAGAACAAGAGTTGACCCAACTAGTCAAGAACAGCAAGAGCTCGGTCTTCCACTTACCCACCATGATACGCCTTGTTATACTACGCCTCGTGGATTGAGTGGGACAAATCACCAAATTAGTAGGCTAAGCAGGTCAAGAATTCCTTAATCACATGCAATTTCGAAACCCATGCAAAAAGTAAAACCAAGCAATGCGTATGATCTCGAATTCCTACACATAACAACAAGAACCTTCCTGACAAGTGAAATGGTATCAACAAAAATAAACCTAAAAATAAAACAAATAACAAATAATCAAATAAACTAAATTAATTGAAAGTCGTTTCCCGGAAACGGCGCCAAAAACTTGATGTGAATTTTTAATGCACTAGTTTTTATTTATAATTCCCAATTTATCGCATCTAAACCACACCTTACCGGCAGTGAACCCGATCGAGTATTGTATAGCTTTGATAAGCAAGGGTGTCGAACATACGGGGAACGGTAGTGAATTAATTTAAAATATTTGATTATAGGTTACAAAACACACGAAAGGAATAAAGACATGTTTCATTAAATCTCAAACGAATAACTAAATAGCAAATCTTGATAAACTGACATGAAGACAAATCACTTTAGGTACTTTAGTTTAGACAAATTACACCTTAAAATCATAGACAATTGCACACATAGATTTATTTATTCATGTTCACCGATTTCTAATGTGATTAGGTCCATGTTCACTATTACTAATCCTTTAGCAAACAAGTCAATTCAAGCAGTGATCAGTTGATTAAACTAACATGTTTCCTAGTGTTCACTTCGTATCAAACAAGACTTGTAATATTAGTTAATTAAATTGGTCGTTCAATTAACCTATATGTGATTGGTCGTCACACACACTCACACATTAATTTACTTATTTTATAGTTAACCCTAGTTTCACGTTCGCTATTCCTAGGCATATAATCTTGATGGTCATCAAAATCATAAGAGGCAAACAATCAAGCAGATGTTCATACAACTCAATATACTTAATTAACAGAAAATAATTGTCATTAACACATAATGATCTTTTAATAAGCTTAACAAGATAAATTAAACACAAAGAAAACAATCCAATATAGAAATTAATCCAATAATCAGGGTTTCATCTAATCATAAACTCAATGCAAATGGTTTTGACACCAAAATCAGAAAGTAAAAACATAATAGTATCACAGTGGAATGCTAAACATGGTCACGATCACAAACCACATGATTACCGACATGAATCCACTCTCCAATCCTTCAGATCTTCGCTCCTGTCAGCTTAACGGCCTTCCGGCCGCCTCCTAGACCCTCAAAACGGCTTACCAGAAGCTAATTGTAGACTAAAATAGGTTAGAAGTCAGAATCTCCTCTTAGAACGAATTAAATGTCAATATAAAGTAATTTTACACCGCCAAAGGAATGCGGCACATAAGTCAAAGGAACGCAGGGCGTTTCTCTAAGAGATCCCATAATCACCAAGCCACGAACGTACCGCGTTCGTCCTAGGAATGCAGGGCGTTCGGCCCACCTACAGCCCAATTCTTCTCATTTGCAGTCTAACTCCGTTTTTCCGGCCTTTTTTCTCCATATCCGCTCCAGCAACATATAATAGATGTAAATTACAATTCAAAGCATTATAAGTACCTTTTGGTTCTAAATAAGAATAATAAAGGCTAAAATATTAAGATATAATGTATAAAAATACACATATCAATAAGGCATACAATACATAAAGGAAATGTAATCTGACAGCATGACGACTCCATGAGTAGTGTAATCACTTAATCATGAAGTCGGTAGTACATAAAGTAGTACATAAAAGGAAACCATAACAGTAGTGGTAGTGGATCCTAGTCGCAGTGGGAAGCGTCTGACGGTGGTGCTGATGAAGTGGATGCACCCTGGAGATGAGCTACCAGTTGGTCAGTGTCTCGCAATCGGGCCTCCCAAGCTGCCTGTCTCATTTGAAGATCTCTGATGACCTATTGTGTTTTATCTCTCGGCTCTCGCGACGGCGGCTCACATTTGATTCATCTGATTAGCAGTGTCCTGGGCCTGGTTGCCAATGTCTCACGTGTGCCTCACTATGACTAGGAGTGTGCGGTCAGCAGTTCCTCCGTGAGTAAGATCATAAAATCCTCGGTTCATGCCGAAGGGCGGCCGCATTCCTTGTTGACGACTCCACCTCCAAATATCATGAGCCCATGGAGGGGTAGGGCCATTAGGACCCAATCCGTATGTGGGCACCCTTACTGGGTATGGGGGTTGATAACCTCAGACTCCGCGTCCGATTCACCGTCATCACTATCGTCGAGTTCTTCTTCTTCTTCTTCGAAGTTGACCACAGGCTCAGCAGGTCCATCTTCAAGTTCTACCTCTTGTTCCTCCTCTGGGTGTTCCTCGGGTTCTTCCTCTTGGTCTTCCTCTGGGTCTTCCTCTGGGTCTTCCTCCGGGTTAAGCCACCCTGTATTCCCCTGATTGGGGAAATAGGGGTCCCCTGGAAAATTAAACCCGACCATAGCGTCTGCACGAAAGTGTATAAATACTAGAAATACATAGCATTTTAATTATTTAGGTTTGGTTTTATAAGCCCATTTGGGTATTTAGATGGTAAGCTTTTGATTCATTGACCATTACGATTACTCCCGAACACATGTTGGTCGTATTTTGAATAAATGTAGTTGATCAGGCTACATTTACCCCCGATACGACTACATAACTGCCCGGGTTTAACCACAATGTTCAAATCCTCCAAAGACTTTTACGGTTTCTTATTAAGTTATTACCCTAAAATGCACACAAATAGGTATGGGTTTTTATTTTGCTTAGAGTTATTTAGTCCCAATGTATTTATAGTTGCATATCTTATATGATTAGATATGCCAGTTCACTATAAACATTGCTCTGATACCAATCTGTCACACCCCCGAACCGAAGAAACATCGGCGATAACGTTCGGAGGTTGGGCGACTTCGTCTTGGAAAATCATCACAGTGAATATAAATGAAACATGAAAAACACCATCATCATACATTCAAAATACAACCGTCATTGTTTAGATCAAGTAATGTATTATAAGTTACATGTCAACAACATAATGTATGTGATAGCAAAACAAGTACAACAAAATTCTCAAGTTCTTGGAGTCCACCTAATTAACGATTTCCTGAGAATACAACTTAATTTGAAAACGTCAACATAAATAATGTTGGTGAGTTTATAAGCATGTTTAAGTAAACAATTTTGTATTTCTTTGTAAACACCAGGAAATATGATATTTTCTAGAAAAATTAATTGAAATGTTTGTGTCTGATCTTGTATTAATGCATGTGTGTTAATGTTTGTAAATGTATAAAACCCAGAAAATCCGATATTTTCTGTTGTAACTAGAAGGTATTGAATAGTTGTTTGTTTTTCCCAGACAATCCGATATTGTCTGTTAGTAAAATGTTGCGGTCTTACACCCTAAGACCGATTATCAGTGTATGTATGTTTCTGTGTTACCAAACTGTATATGTATTCCGTAAATTTTAAAATGGAGTTAATTTCTCTGTGAGTTCGTTATAACCATACTTGATATGACTGGTTTGCCTGTCATGACGTATTTCAGATGCTGACTTGTATAAGGAAAGGTTTGTCGCCCTAGACTGGCCTAGTCTAACTGTAGCGAACAACTTAGGCGTAGGGTGTCAACCCCGTATAGATCTATACACAAACTCTCGCTCTCCCTCCAGGAGACTCTGGTTATAACTACAAGACTTAAGGTTGTACGCTAAATAGGTACGAATGAATACGTGTCTCACAAGAAACTTAACTGAAATTTACGCGAATATTGTATGAATGTATGAAATCATAAGCATGTAAATGGACTACAAGGGTCCAAATAAACATGTAATGTAAGTTCCAGGCCCAATAGACATGTAAAAGGACAACTAAGGTCCTCTAAACATGTATATTATATTCCAGGCCCAATAAGCATGCAAAAGGACAACTAAGGCCCACTAAGCATGTGATGTGTATTCCAGGCCCAACATACATGTGTAAGGACAACTAAGGCCCACTAAACATGTGATGTTATATTCCAGGCCCTATAAGGATGTAGAAGTATATTCCAAGCTCAATATACATGTAAAATGACAACTAAGGCCCATTAAACATGTATATTATATTCCAGGCCCAACAAGGATGTAGAAGTATATTCCAGGCCCAATATACATGTAAAAGGACAACTAAGGCCCACTAAACATGTATATTATATTCCAGGCCCAATAAGGATGTG